GGGCAGAGAGCGAAAAGGCCAGTTTGTTCAAGAGCCATTTTCCCTTTCTTGTTAAACCCAAATAGTAACAACTTGCATGCCAACAGCAGCCCCAGTTGCTGGGAAGAGGTAACCCTCATCCCTTGGCGCCACTTACACGTAGGTTTGCTTGCCGGAGTTGGATCGGAGCCGAAGAGGTGGGTTCTGGTTGCGTGCCGACGGTCTTTTGGGGTGGGATGGCTTTGACGTGCATGAGTCCGTCAGTCCGGTCTGTAAGCTGCAGACATGTCATGTGGGCTTCGGGTATTAGCCGATGAGAATAAGACCGAGATTCTCTTTTTGGGGGCTGTTGGTTGTGGTGTTGAGCTGATGCGAATCCAACATCCAGGAGTGATATCTGAAAGTGACAGAGAATGAAAAGTGAGAAACAAAGTCTTGACGCAAGGCAGCAGGCTTTCTGACAAGACTATCTCCCTAGCTCAAGTCGACTGCGCCGTTGGCGTAAGGTCGCAAGGTGGGAAGAGCAATGCAGCCTCGGCGCTTCCGTCCTTTTTCGTTGTTGTTTGTCTTCCCCCTTTCCCGAAGCCCGCCGCGCCGTCGTTCCAATCGAGTGCTGGCTTGATGCATCTTGCTTGGTCTGCAATAGCCAATAGAGAAGTCCGGCATGATGGTCTTGGGTGCGTTTGATTCCGGCTCAATGGGCCGCAGGCGCCGATGCGACGGTAGATCAGATATTGGTGATCAAAGCGGCTTTCTGGAACAATTCTGGCGCGCGGCTTTTTGTGGAGTGTCTTCAGCCCTTTTTTTTTTTTTTTTTTTTTTTTTTTGCCTGGGTCGTCGGCCAATCTAGGGTAATTCTGGGCTGTGTGGTGGTTGCAGACGAGGGAACTGTGGGTGCGTACATGCAGCTTGCTTCGCTTCGAGGCGGGTGGGAGGAGAGGGGAGGGATAGCTGAAGAAGTGGTTACGTGAGAGAAAAAGAAAGTAAAAAGAGTGAGAGGAACCTGAGGGTTTTCTTGGGATGAGCTGAAGAATGAATTGCCATCGTCATCGACATGTTGCCTCCGTGGCAGGCAGAACAGGTATAAGAGAGAGAGAGACGAGTATGTAACGTTGGGATGGTTTGACAGGTTTGACAAGTTGACAGCTCGGGGGAACGTGCGTCTTTTTCTGGTTTGCCCTTTTCATCTGAAGCCACATGTGTTGTACCCCCGTCTTCTCTAACAGCCTCGGGAGGGGGGGACATTCTCTCTCACGAAAAGTGAAAAAGACGGCCGATCTTCACTTTTGTGCTTGTGATTGGCGGGGTTCTCGCAACATAAGATACGCAGTAAAAAAATAACGAGAATTGTTGCGCCCCGCCAGAGGCCTGTGAAAGGGAAAAAAAAAGCTTTTGGTCGCCGACGCCGCCTCGCCCGGCGCATGCCAGCCCATCCAAATGGGGAAGGCCATCGATGGGGATGATTCCCCCCCCCCAAACATCCCGGGGGCCTTCCCATCTTCTTTTTTGCGAGCAAAAAAAAAATAAGCAATTCCCGATCCCGCAGCTTGTGAATCAGCATGGGGCTTTGGGACTGATGACAAGTCGAGATGGATCTGGGGAAGGGGGGGGAACCGCAACGGCTCGCAAGAACCTGGTTCCATGTAATGGAT